ATCGATACTTTGCGTGAAAATACTTTGAATTATTTTTATTCGATTTTATTACGAGACTTGGACAATACTTTGTTTTGATACACCTTAGCGAATGACCACCTCACTCTTGTTCGATTGATTGACGATGTTCTTACGATACTTGACATATTAATATTCTGATTATTGATGCTCCTGCAATAGTTCTTCGTCATCTCCCAAAGTTAGCTCACACTATATACAAGTAATTCTCATTCCTCCGTTTTAAACCTATCAGCGCCATCTCCCACGTATATCATCAACTGACTTCGTCGATAGGGAAGACTAAGTTGACAATATCACTACGTTTCACCCTCTTGTATTTACGTGTGTGTTCAGTTGCCGAATTTACTAGATCTGTGGTCAGTTGCAGATGTGTTCAGTTGACTGTGTCCAGTTGCACCCATCCCAAGCAAAACAAATTGGTCAATTGATGATTAAGGAAGAGTTGTTCTGCCGTTGGGAAAAAATCTTATTCCATTAACAATCCAATGATATGTTGACATAAAACATGTCACATTGTTCCATTTTGCCCCATTTGTCCCTATGCGATTCTTGAAAATTTCAAATTGTTTACATTTTCTCTTGATGAATCGAAATTCGTTGAGAACATTCTTCTGATGTCATATTTTGAATAGAAAAATCGAATTCTGTTGATTTTCTGAGAGAAAAATCGAAAGCTAATTTTTTAGTAGTAAATTTAAATTTTGAAGTGGTAAACTCATTTTTTTTATTATGCAAATATTTGATAACAACAGGTAATTTCAACAGAAATTTTCAAAATTTTCCCGTGGAAGCATCGTTAAAAAAATCCAAATCATTTCCTACCGAGTTCTTAAAAGATTTCGATCCCAGAATTTAAGATTTTTCAAATTTTCAGTTGCCCCATAATTGAATGGAGTGCGAAATATATGTTCGTTATACATTTCTACATCCATTGCGAACTTTTCGATAGCAAAAAAAAAATTTTCATCAGTTATCATTGGCTATTTTATCAGCCTCTGTGTTTGTGGGCAATTCCGCCCAGAGTTTGTGGGTAATGCCGCCCAGGGTTTCTATAAGGTGGCTAACTCTGTAGCTGGAGGGCGGGCGAGTGACAGCTCGATTGTTTCGGATAGTCGCTGGCCACTGAACATCGTAAATTCAGAATAATTTATTATTATTCACATGAAATCTTTCTCAAAATAAAGCCAAAGAATGGAAACGAAGGATGAAAATAGGAAAAATTATAACAGTTGGTCTGCATTGCTAAAAAAAGCCATCAAAACAAGGTGAGCGGTATTGGACGCATGCCGGGCGGTATTACCCTCAAAGTTCGATTCCATCGCTCACTGGCCGATGACAATTGAATTACATAATTAAATGTGTTTAATGTTAATAAAAAATCTGTCCTGTTCACATCTCGTGCTATCTGTTTTACTTTTTCTCACTAATTTCGCTGAATATCTATGCTTTGTTCTTATACGCTGTATCTACTGTATATCTCATCTCCATGTCATTACTTTGTTTCATTTTCTAAACAATAAATATCATACCTTATCTTATCTTATCTGCGAGTGCACACGTCGTAGAATCCATTCTAACCGTTTATGACACCTTGTAGAGAACGGGGCTGGAAAAAAAATACCCATCTATTTCCCTTAAGTGGGCGGTACATGCACCAGCTCCCCTATGTTTTATTTTCGCGAATATTCGTCTAAATTCTAACTTTACCCATCAAAATCAAGTGTCTTTCCGTCGGAAAAATATCCGCATTGATTCCTCAAAGTCAATATTTCGCATTTGACAGAAAAAACACGAATAATTCGATATTGATGGTCAAGAGGCACCCCCTTAACCATTCGAAAAATGGTACCACCCGGTACACTGAGAGAAAACCGATAGAATTCTCAAACAAGTCTTACTTGTGCCAAGGAAACAGTTTTTTCAAAATTATCGAAACAGGATTTTTTGTGCCAAACATGCACAAGTGGGCAGAGATAAAAAAAATTTGTAACCAAAATAGATTTAATAGTTGAAAAAAAGTGCATTCTTTGTACACGCAAGAGATGTCATTTTCAGTACTACTCCTTCGGTATTCGATACTACCATACGTATTTTCCTGCCGAAACATGTTTGTTTTATGCGAAACAAGGTATAGTAGTTTTAGGTTTCGGCTATTTAATAATTACAGACAAGAAATGAGCCCTTAAGGGTGCCAAGTGAATTTGGCGATGACCTTGAAAATTGACATTCACCAACAAAGTTATAATTTTTTTAATTAATAGTATTAGACAGATGGTGAACATCGGTGACAATTTTAAAATTTTAGAACTTATGGATATCGAAAAAATAAATAAACAAAATCAGTCTTATACACGACCTCCTATGGAGTTTTGATTAAATTGAACGTTTCAACCCCCTAGGAACTCAAGAAAAATTTGAAAAAATTTGAAGATATGGGGAATGATGTGTTCAATGTGATGGCGACAAAAAACAATGGGGTACCGGGGTGAATAAGAGAGATATTTCAACCCGCCGTACCCATTTGATCCCATGCTTTCTCGAGGTTCGTCACGCGAAATAGAGGATTTTCCGCATTTATTTTCTCGATGTCTAGTTCCGGTTGCGGGTTTGAAATATCGTCGGATGGATGAATCCATATTTCTCCAATGATGGAGGGAAAGAAAAAATTTTTTAAAAATCTTTTTTCAAATTCACTTGGCACTCTTAAATGAAACAATAATGATACTATTCATTACTGATACTAAGCACTAGCATGCTTGTAGCTTAGAGACAAAATATTTTTTGGTAAATTTTCCTCTATATGAGATATTTTAATCGTGAAAGGGCACCGTTTCGTGTGAATTATCCTCCTCTTGAGCCAAATATTTCGTGGCTGTCGAACGCAGAGCAATTATTCATGTTTGCAATTTTCAAAGTGGAACCAAACCAATTCTTTTTTGGCAATTTTCAACTAGCGATTTTGTTGGCTCAAACAAGACTTGTTTGAGAACGTGTTTGTTTGTCTCTCAGTGTAATACAGAAAATGCAAAGCTTAAATTTGAACAACTACAAAGCTTTCATTCTGAATAAAAAAAATTCATAAAAAATCCCCACAATGAAAAATCGAGTTCGAATCTTGGCGGCATAAACCTAGTGACAAAAATGGCGCTCCTAGGGGCCCTGAAATCACACCTGCTCCAGATATTCAAAAAACAGTTGTTGAGTTGTCCCTCCCCGACGTGTTCCCTCGCTAAATGTCACGCATCCCCCGTAATCCTCGCGAAACTGTCATTCCGTCACTGAAACCCCCCCAAAACCCCTGAAAATGGAGACCGAGGGCTGCTACTTGTCGTGCACAGCAGTCGCCGAGTGGACGAACCCCCAGGGGACAACGACCCGGAAGGTTAGCTACAGAACAGCCCAGCTCCGTCTCATCCGCAACAATCTCCGTCAGATGCTCATCGAGATTCGTGCTGAGAAAGCAAATACAACGATAAAACTCGTCCTCAAGGGGATAAACGTCCTGAATCGTTACATGAACGAAGGCAAGTCGACGATTAAATTCGCCGAGGAACGATGCACGCTGTTCCTGTCGAATGCCCCAGCGGCGCAGCTCATTACCTTCCTGAAGACGATATTCGTGAAGATGACGGGTCAAACCGAGACTTCAAAGCCGCAGTCGAAGAATCCTTTGAGGGAGCAGCTCCTGTCCAACGGCAAACTGGGGGGAGTCCAGGACATCAGTCCAGCTACCAATGCAGAACTCAACCTAGCGAAGGAGAAGGCTCTGCTGGTCGCTGCCTCCAGGAAGACTGTGACCACACCCTCCCCGAGCACCATCAGAAAGAGGAAGTTGACGGGTTCCAACACTCCGAAGGTCCCCATAGCTAAGAAACTCTATGCCAATCCGACTGCTGTGCCATTGACTGATGAACAGAAGGGAGTGCTGGAGGCTGTCCTCAAGGGGAAGAACATCTTCTTTACTGGGAGTGCTGGCACAGGTATAATTCATGTTTTTATTCGAGTTTAAGTAATGGTTTGTTTTTATGGAAAGCTGGTGTGTCCGGCCTTGTCCGGGGAACTGTTTTTTTTCTGTCTCTTATTTTTGAATTAAAAGTAATTTTTAAATCAATTTTTTGGTGGTTTACACGGGTTAGAAGTGAAAATAAAAATCATTAGCTTTACAATTTCCATAAAATTTATTTTATGACTCATTCTTAAGTATTTCTATAACAGAGTCATGGATTTGAAAAACTGGGTTTCAATTCTCGAATTTGCTTCAAATTTCTAAAAACTTCTCACATTCCCTTCAATTTTCTAGAAACTTGTTGAATTCTCACATGGGCTTCTGCTTTATATATAAGATTGGATAATTGATCAGAAAGATCTGGTAATTGTTTATTGAAGTAGTATAAACATAACTTGAATTTTGAAGATTGTATTCCTTGAAAGTCTCTTTCTGATCAATCGAAAATCGAAACCTATTGTTTCCTTATTTTTCGACATTAAAACTGAAGTAATAAACTCATCAGCACGATTGAAGAAGCATCAGCCATTTTAGAAATTTCAGTGAGGTCTTCTCTTAAGGGGAGACGGAACCCCTTTGTCTACATAAAATCTTAGAATTGTGTTTTCTCCTACAATTATTAATTTCTATCTATGCAATTGCTTTATCGACTCGATTACCGCATTGTTGAGTCAATGAAGTAGTTTAATGAATAAAGAATAATAATTGCAGGAGAAAACACAATTCTAAAGATTCATATAAACGCAGAGGTTCCGTTTCCCCTTAAGAGGTAATGATACCCCCTGCATGTGTTGAATTTTAGAATCATCCTCTTGCCCATATAGTTATTAATTTTTGGAAACCAAAAAACTTGAGCCACTGCGCAATATGGTAATGGAGTGCTTGAAGTTTTTTGGTTTGCAAAAATGAACAACTATGGATACGAGGNGAGGTAATGATACCCCCTGCATGTGTTGAATTTTAGAATCATCCTCTTGCCCATATAGTTATTAATTTTTGGAAACCAAAAAACTTGAGCCACTGCGCAATATGGTAATGGAGTGCTTGAAGTTTTTTGGTTTGCAAAAATGAACAACTATGGATACGAGGACAATTCTAAATTCAACATATGCAAGGAGTGCCGTTACCACTTACCTTTTGCTTACAATTTATTACAGAGTTAAAAGTTTAAAATTTGACGCCTGCGTGTATTATTTTTCGAACATGATCTTGTAGGCTTTTTATGGCACCATCCCAGCCCCCACTCCTTTATTGCGGTGTCATGGGCCGATTTCCTCCTGCACCATGTACAGACTCTCCTGGTGACTAAGATACCATCGGAGACTGTTACCCAAAGATTCAATCTCGATGATATCCGGTGTATAGACTCGTTCAACGGTTTCTGAAAGATTAAAATCCCAATTTGCTCCAAGCTGGACTCCAACCCACTCCCTACGGATCCCGCCATCCGGTCCAAGAGTTTAACCAGTTCGGCCACCTTTGTCGATGTTTGTTTTTTACTTTGATCACCTGCACTGTTCTCCAATCGTTGTTCAATGTTACATAGCCCTGGAGCCTTCAAAAATTATGATTGTACAATAAAAAAAACGTTAAAAAAACTCACCATTTTCAAAAAACGTTATTGTATAATATTGGGAACTAAGTTCAATAGGAAGGAAATTGAAATAGTACATTAGAGTACAAGGGCACAAATTTTGTTTTCCACGAATGTGTAGTTTACAGGCCGAGCCGAAGGCGAGGTCTGTACACACATTCGTTGAAAACGAAATTTATTACCGAGTGCTCTATAATATTTTATGTCAAGTCGTGTAGAAGTCGAGTTTTGAGCAGGCTGCGCGGAGCGCAGCGTGCGTTAAACTCGACTTATTGCACGGCGCGACATAATAACTATGTTTTTAGGTTTTTTGAATTTACTTTTCCTTGTTACACTTAACGAGTCAACTGAGTTTATTCATACAACTTTAAGAAATAAATTCTAAACGAATGTTAATATTAATATGAAAGTTTTGGTTGAGTTTGTGCTCAATCGGCAGTCTAGTATTATTGTTAATATTTAATCTAAAAGTGCAAAAATAACACAAAAATAAGTTTTATGAGGAAATGAACTTTTAGAGTTTAGAGAAAAGATTAAAATCTAGAAAAAACTTCGATAACTCAGAAAAATATATAAAAATTATATGCCGAATATAAATATTATTTTCAGTGTCAAATTTTTCTAATAAATAATTCATATTTTTGCGTGCCCGAAATGACGTGTTATGTCGAAACACCCTAGTCAATCGAGAGATTATTTGAAAAAATAATTAAAGAATTTTATGGATCAATTTCTTATTTATCAAAGTTCGAATTCATGGGAAAAATGATCAATAATGAACGATTTTTTTCGGCTTTTTGAATTTACTTTTCCCTCTGTTACCCATTTAAGTCGAGTTTATTCATACTACTTTAATACTAAAAATTCATGTCTTAGGTAAATCGTTCCTCCTAAAAAGAATAATTTCCGAGCTTCCACCCGACGTAACAATAGCAACAGCAAGTACCGGAGTTGCTGCTTGTCACATCGGTGGAATAACCCTCCACCAGTTCTCCGGCATCGGTTTGGGAACTGGAACAGTGGAGAGATGCTGTCAAATGGCGTCGAAGCCAGCCTGCGCAACTGTTTGGAGGCGTACGAAGTACCTCATCATCGACGAGATATCGATGGTGGACGGCGAGTACTTCGAGAAGATCGAGGCAGTCGCCAGGCACGTCAGGAAGAATGATCGTCCCTTCGGGGGAATCCAGCTGATCCTGTGTGGAGACTTCTTCCAACTGCCTCCAGTCAACAAGATGATTGACACCAAGAAATTCTGCTTTCAGAGCAAAGCCTGGGAGAAGTGTGTTCACTTGAACTTCGAACTCCAGACGGTCCATCGTCAGAAGGACCCGAAATTCGTTAAGGTCCTTAACAGCTTGAGGATCGGGAGGGTTACAGACGAGATCACGAGCATTTTGAAGTCAACTTCTAGTCAGAAAATTGAGAGGGACGGAATTTTAGCTACGAGATTGTGCTCGCATGTCAATGAGGCTAATGATATCAATGAATCGCAGCTAGCTAATTTGAAAGGTGCAGTATGTTTAATTGATATCAGGTTTAATTGAAATAAGGATTAGAATATTTCCTGGAATTTTTTTGAAGGGAAACTTTTTTAGTGACGATACCAAGAATTTACAAGCCTCACGACAAATGAAAGGATGTAAGGAGAGCATATACTGAGAAAAAAAATATGTTTGCCAAGTATTCATTTACTTGAGAGAAGTATTGATTTTTTGAAAATGGAATTGCTCCAATCGAGTCATTTTCAGGCGAGCCTGATTAGGTTTCAATCATATTGCTCTAGAGAATGACTACGCTGTACATGACCTTGGATGAACTCCTTCAATAATTATTCAGTTTTCCTAAATTGCTCATTTTCTAGAGGGAAGAATTTAGATTAATTTTTTAATGTTGACACTTCAGTAGTGAAGTGGCCAAACGGTTTAAGTTAATTCCATTCTAGCGCCAGTTCTCGATGAATATCTCAAATCCTAAAGGAGTTAGCAAAATTTTCCTAAAAATCTTTTTTGTAAAGAAAAGTGAAGACTATGGAAAAAGATCTTACAACAATTTCGCTATCTTTCTTAAATTCCGAGTTATTCAACACAAACTCAACTGGGAGCTAAGTCGACTTGAACCGTTTCATCACTTCACTACTGAATTGTTGAGGGAGTTCACTCATGATCATAACAAACATGATCATCTTCCAGATCAATATAATTTTCATAATTGAAGCCTAATGAGGGTTGTCTGGAAATGACTCGAGAGGAGAAATATAGTATTGACAAAATAAATACTTCTCTCAAGTTAATGGATATTTGGCAAAAATAATTATTTTTTTAGTGTAGGATTTTGGCGATGAAAGAGGAGTGGAGAAATCTGGATGCAAGCCTTGAAGAGGCCTTGGGAATTGAAAAAAAATTACTGATATGTAGGGAAAACTTAGCGCTGTGAATTTTAAACCAAAAAGCGATCAAAAAATCCGAAGGATAGCGTGAGAAATTTCTTCTTTTTGTGGGAACTGGTTAAAACGAGTTGACGGCGATGTGAAAACGATGAATCATTTTAATAATCAAAAACCATTTAATGATTTAATGATTTTTTAACGTTTACTTTAATGATTTTTTCAAATCATTTGAAATTATAGGAGAGGGATTTTAATACGTAAGGGGCTTTAAACTTGACGCCCCCACCTCGCATTTTTGAACGTTTCTTAAAATTATTTATCCTCTTCAGCCCACCCTCAACTCATTTCATTTGGTTTCTATAAAATGAACAAATTTTTTAAGCCTCCTTTTAGATTTTTTTACCTTTTTTTGGCTGAGAATTCATGACGCAAAAATTTCCCCAAATTTTCATAGTTTTTTTATTCTGTAGGTCTCTTAAATTCTTCACTGTTCGAATATCAATAATTTCAGACTATTCATAATCGAATTAAATTCACAAGTCTAAACAGTTTCTGCCAATGTCTTCATAAAAAATTGTAAGAAATATTCCTTTCAAATGAATCATTTTTCGGGTGTAAATGAGCCAAATCGAGTGCAGTCTCAACATAAAAATTTCCTCCACAGGTACACCCAAGACTTACATAGCTCAAGATTCAGATCCTGGAATGACTAAAACTCTCGAGCAGCAACTGTCAGTCCCAGGAAAATTGACGCTAAAAGTTGGCGCTCAGGTGATGCTCCTCAAGAACATCAACATCAGCAATGGACTTGTGAATGGTGCCAGAGGGGTTGTAATAAAGTTCGAGGACGAAACTCCCGTTGTCCAGTTCAGGAGTGGGGAGATCTACCGTGCGAGGTTCGAGAAATGGACCATCAGGACGGCTTCAGGGAGCTTTATCCACAGGAAGCAGGTGCCCCTGAAGCTCGCCTGGGCCTTCTCGATTCACAAGAGTCAGGGGTTGACCTTGGACTGCGTGGAGATGAGTCTCGCTAAAGTCTTCGACGCTGGACAGGCTTATGTCGCGTTATCCAGGGCCCAGAGTCTAGACTCTCTGAGGGTTCTGGATTTCAATGCGAGACAGGTGTGGGCTAATACCAGTGTACTCGAGTTTTATAAGAATTTCAGGAGACATCTGCATGAGGTGGAGTTTATTCCCCTTGGCAAAAAGTCGAAGGGCAAGTGAATGGAATTTAAACAGTTGATAATGAAATAATTCACTGATTTTGTTAATTGTGCAAGAAGAATATCAAGAAATATTTTTTGAAGATGAAATTTATAACAAAAAATATCTCTAGAAATATTCAAGAGATGATTGCATATTTAATTACATTTAGAAAATCGATTCGTTATAATGGATTTCTGATGAATTCAAATATTTGAGAATAGATAGGGAATTTAAGCTAAGAAAATAGTCTGAGTAATTTTCGTATGAGTTTCAATCATTTTGTATGCAAAATAGTGACGTTTCATTGAAGATCCGAGATCTTTTCCACCAAAAACTCATTTTATGATAGTTTTCAAAGGAAATAATGTAATAAAGTAGAAAAAATGAATGTGCAGATATTAATTCTTGATGAATTGAACTGACAAACAGAAAAAAAATTATAGATTTGATGCGACTGACAGTGCCTTTTCGACTTATAAAAAACGGAAAATATTGTAGTATTAGAAAAATTTTTAAATTAGTTTCTAAGCATTTTGACAGGCACTAATTTTGATGACATTTTCAACGACAATAAAAAATCAATATTAATATTACGAATGGTCAGCAGTAATTTCCAGTGTACTAATACTCTCTTGGGAACCTCTTGGGAAAACATCGAAGGACGAATGAATGAAATTTAGATAATGGATAATGAAGGGATTCGATGATTTTGTTAAGGGTATTATGGTNCACTAATTTTGATGACATTTTCAACGACAATAAAAAATCAATATTAATATTACGAATGGTCAGCAGTAATTTCCAGTGTACTAATACTCTCTTGGGAACCTCTTGGGAAAACATCGAAGGACGAATGAATGAAATTTAGATAATGGATAATGAAGGGATTCGATGATTTTGTTAAGGGTATTATGGTGGGGTCCATAGCTGGAAAAAAAAGCAGAGAATTCAATGAAAATTGCTGAACAGATTATTCGGTCCATTTCAAAGCCGTGTGCAAAATGCCAAGATCCCTATATTTTTTGGAGATCAAATTTATAACGAAAAATATCTCTTAGTAGATGACTCTAAAAATATTCAAGAGATGATTGCATATTTAATGAAATTTAAAAAATCGATTCCATATAATATAAATCATATTTACTCATATCTATCGGATTTAAATACTTGAGAAAAACAGATTTGAGAATGGATAGGGAATTTAAGTTATCAAAATACCTAAATGAAAGTTAGACAATTGATAATGAACTATTTCGAAGATCTTGTTAACGAATTTAACTTACTAAAATATTTTGAATAATTTTGTATGCAGGATAATGACGTTTCACCAAAAATTAATGTTTTTCCAGACCAGTGCAATGCACTTGGGGGTCAAGTGCATCGGGAATGATATGGAGATGAGTGAGTTCTCACATAAATAAATGAAGATGTGTTCACAATAAACAACTTATATTTATTCAGTCCAAACACTTATTATTAATTATTTAATACAAAAGCGATGAGACGCCACAGCTGTGGTGGACTGACAAAAGCGCGGTAAGGATGATAATGGCGGTTAAAGAGCGAATCTCAGTGAAGGCTAGTGCGATCTCGGAACTAGCAATTGTTTCCGTCGTTGGCGCTGGGGGTGAGCTCCGTCGGTAACGCTGGGATCTAGTTGACCCTCAGCCGCCACAGCCACTCCCCTCCCAGTGACCTGAGTATGGGTAAGGAAAGGAACGAAACTTTCTTTGGTGTTTGGGTTACTCTGGCGTATGTCCTTAGAGGTGGATCCATGTTCAGAGAATGATGTTCTTCAGGTACAGTCGTTGATGCGCTGAGTTGTGGAATAGGTTGATGTTGTTGTTCAGGTGATGGTCCTAATGAGTCTGTCTTGGTGATGAATGCTGTCTTGAGTTGATCAACGGAGATAGTTTTGTCGAGTCCGTTGAATTTGACGATGAATACTCTGTCGTCAACTCGTCTGACGATCTCGTGAGGTCCGGTGTACGGTGGGTCGAAGGGTTTTTTTACTGCGTCGCCGCGTACGAAGACGTGGCTTCCGTCGTACAGGTCCTTCAGTACGAAAAACCTTGCCTTGGTGTGATGGGCAGCGGTAGTGGGTCTCGCTCGCCTCATATGGTCGCGGAATTTCTCGAGGAAGAAATTCGGATCTGCGGGTAAGCTCTCAGAGACGAAAAATTCCCCAGGGACTCGTAGCTTTGTTCCATACAGGAGCTGTGCTGGGGAGGCTCTCAGGGCCGTGGTCGTGTTGGTCATTTTCGAGGTTTCAGGCTTCGGGGTATTTGTAGAGTCACAATTTCCAGGGTGTTTGGCGGTTCAGAAGATTCCACGTGTTTTGATGGGTCTTCTGAGAGTCGGGACTCGCCTTGTTTTCTTTCAAATTCTGGGAGGAGTGATGGAGTCACTGATGCTGAGGTTTTCTGTTGTTGTTTGGACGGTGGCTCAGTGATTGTTTCTTCTTCAGATTCGGGGTGGGATTGGTGGGATTTCAGAAGCTTGGGTTTCGTTTTTTTGTTTCGAAGCTGGCTGGTTTGGTGGGCCTTACCATGATGGACTCTTGTTTTGTTCTTCATACACTGCCTGAGAGACTGATCTCCTTCTGACTCCGGGGAATCGGATGATGTGGTGGATGGAGCTGATCCATCTTCTCCCTCTATTAGAACTATCTTCATCAGAGGTCATTTTGATGGACCTGATTTTGAGGGTCCTGGTTTTGATGATTGAGCTCTTCCATATTGTTTTTTTAATGGAGCTGAAGCTGGTTCATCTTCTTTTTCGTTTTCTTCTTCTGATAATGATGATGACGGTGGAGAAACTGCTCCAGCTTCTCTGACAATCGGGTTTCTGAGCCTATGAACCTTTTCGTTGTGTTTCTCTTTCAATGTCTTGATCTTTGCTTATCTTTGCTTTTTTATCATAACTTGCAAAAATTTTTGCACTGCATTTCGGCCTGCTGGGAAAGAGAATTTCATGAAATTGCGCGACAGTTCTTAGAGAATACCACATGAAATTAAGTTCTGCGATAATTTAGCAATATTAGTATTCTAGGCGATGCATGTACTAACGGATAATGATGTTTCTTGCATTGAAACTCATAATTCTAAGTAAAACAGACTATTCTCAAAGCTTCTTCCACTATTCATGTTGATATTTTTAAATTAGAACTCCTCGATCATTCGCAGAATCAACTAAATTATCGAAAAAATAAAATTAAGATCGAGCGAGTTATAAGACCTGAATGAAGGAATTGTATGACCATCTGTGTAAAAAACAGAATTTAATATCGAATTTTCACTCTGAAAACAGGACATCTCTCTCTCTCTCTCTCTCTCTCTAGAACAAAATCTTGCATACTTGTTAAAAAATTTTACACTGTTAAGATCTAAAAATGGCAACAGGTGTTTTTTTCCTACTGTAAGTGGTGAAAAGTCAAACTTTCATTTAGTGATAACTATTCTGACATTAAATTTTCTGTATTGAAAGAGACAAAGTGTGAAAAATATTTGCGTCTGAGGGGATAAGTTGTCAGGATTCTCACAATCGAGAAATTCATGATTTTATGTTTTTATAATTTAGAAATTTTATGAATTATTGAAGCTGTTTTATTTTGTGAATTTAATGAGGATTATATGGGTTTTAGAAAATGTGAATTAGGAATGTGAAGTAAAGGTGGTTGAGTGGGCTATCGGTTTCCGGGGAATATTTAGAAAAAATATAGTTCCGCGACGGACCTAGGTGGCGCATTCTTTCCGCGAGTCAAATTCGCGATCGCAAAAGCGATTTCTCGCTGTCTGGTGGTGGTTTGTAGAATTACTATCTTGCGGAACCAATCTGATGGTAGTGCGCCAAGGCTCTGGAGTATACGCTAGACAAGTAGCTCGCGTGGTCCTACGGTAGCAACTCTCGGGGGGCCAGTCAGTCTGTTGACTACCGAAACGTGTGTTATGGAGGCCACAGAAAAATCACCACAAATTCCACAGAAATTGTCGAAACGTAATTGCTGTGTTGTGAATTGTTTCAACAATGCAAAAAATAGTCCTGGAGTGCATTTTTACACATTTCCAAATCGTCCATGGGAGGCTGAAAGGAAAGAAAAATGGATAAAGGCTGTACGTAGAAAACAGTAAGTAACCTATTTTTTTGATCAAATTATGCAGTTAAGCATTCCAGAATCGACGCAAAAAATACGGAGAAATATATTGCGTTAAATTTGAACCTAATCTCTTGAATGTCAATGATTGATTTACTTCTAGACTTGACGGAACGCCGTGGAGACCAACGCCGAATTCGCGGATATGCAGTGCTCATTTTTCTGGAGGTGTTAAATCTAACAATCCTTCGGAGGAATCATTTAACCCAACAATATTTCCTCCGATTTATAAAAAAAAACTCGAATATCTGCGGATCCAAAGAGAGGTGAACGATTACGAGCTCGGAAAAGAAAATTGGAGCCTCCAGAAATTGATATGAGTAATGATGTTGATACACACATGGCAATGAGTCCTCCTGCTCCAGAATTAAAACCGATATACATAGACATTGGAGTGCAAACAGATCCGGTTTTGAATGAAGAGGAAATCCAAGAGGAAATTCCAGTCATTTTCCTTTGTTGGCAAGATTCTGCTCTTCATGAAGCATCTACACAAGCCTCTATCATTCTAAAAGCACAATCGAGACCGAGAGTGATAATACCTTCACAAAAAAAAACTAGAACAATTCGTGTCGGCCCTGATAAAGTATTCAGGTCTGGATTCCTGGGATACGAAAATATAAAAGATGATCGAACTATGAAGCAATTAGCAGGAATAACACTCAGTTTCTTCCATATCTTACTGACATTCATTGAAGTGAAGGCAGAGGGTCAGCCAGCTTACTATAAAACTCTCGACTCTTCGAATAGACTATTACGGTTCCTGATGAAAATGAAATTGGGACTAACATTTGGAGCCATTGGTTATTTTTTCAAAGTTTCGAGCACAACGGCCTCTACTATTTTCCATGAAATATTAGTGACCCTTCATGTGAAGATGAAAAGCTGGATATTTTGGCCATCGAGAGAAGCAATAAAGGAGACAATGCCTTCGACGTTCCGAAATTATCCGACTTGTCGAGCTATCATCGACTATACAGAGCTGCCATGTGATACTCCACCCACACTTGAGCAGCGTGTACAAATGTATTCATCATACAAATGTGGATTTACAATTAAATATTTAATAGGCATCAGTCCTTCTGGCATGATTACTTTCATCTCCAAGGGCTACGGTGGAAAATGTACTGATGGATTCATTGTCAATGATTCTATTTTTTTGGGATTGGTCGAGCCTGGAGATCAAATTATGGCTGATAAAGGTTTCCCTCAAATAAAGATAGCGCTTCTTGAACGTCAATGTGTGTTGGTAATGCCACCAATGGCAGTCAATCCTCAGTTTTCACGGGAAGAAGTCCTAGAAGGATACTCTATAGCATCAGTTAGAATTCACGTGGAAAGGGCTATCCAACGAGTCAAAATTTTCGGAATCTTACGTCACATTAATGTTGAATTATTCAAGCATATTGATAAAATCATGTTCATTGCTTGTGTACTGGCTAACAATAAGGAACCAATTCTCCGACCTGAATCAAATGTACAAAAGTAAATGATCATTGTAATTTAATCATTGTAACAAAGAATCAAATCAACTGTTGTCAAAATTTTTATTATAAACTCGGCAAATCATCCAACAAACGTAAAACATAATAAAATATATCGTTAATACTTTATATTTGGTTTCTAAAGCTCATATACTCCAATATCCTTCCATTCATATCGGAACTAACTCAGATTCAGCAGTTGAACTCTCGTCGCATAAACGAATGTAATAATCGAAATAGAATTTCTCCATCTTTGGAATAATATTAGACAAAAATTCTTCATCACGATTAATCTGGAGATAAATGGATTGTGCCTTAGAAAACACGAGAAAGTGAGAGAGTTTAACACCCAGGACATACATGGATACTTGGATTTGTGTATAGTACTTATGGCTTTTGGGTAACTCAGCATTCCCATTTTCATTGACTGTTAAGTAGGGGACCGAGCTTTGTTTACTCTGGAAATCCACAATCAGTGAATCAGCACATGTAAAGGGACATTTAATCTCCAGTAACTCAAACATTTCTCCATTGAAAATTAGGCCATCTGGACTACATGCTAAGAAATGTTGAGTGAAGTTGATGACCAGACCCGTCTCATACACTTCCTGTTGAATCAGAGACTTGAAGAAAACCCTTGCAATAGGCTCCATCTCCAAACCATAATTCGTTGCTTTAGTCGTCATGCTGCCCTTGGAATTTTTCCGAAATCTCACAGCCAAACTCTCGAAATCCTTACGTCGAGTTTTTATCTGATGTGCTTTTTCACTACACGTGATTCTAATAGATCTTTCTTCAAACCAAGCTGCTGTAGTCGATTGATGCAAAGACATAAAACAGATATCTACCCATTTTTACGCAGTTACTTGCACTTGATTGGTATAGAACGTCGTATATTCCTGAGGACAATTGATTCTCGAAAACACACGTTGATCATTTTCATCTATCACATATTCCTGAGCATGATATTTATTGAAAGAATTTTGTTGTTGTGATGTAAACAACTGAAAAAATAACCGACGATACCATTTTTCTTCTTCCCTTTTCAATGTCTCTCGAGCTTCTCTTTCGTTGGAACATCTCTCAAATGCACAATTCTCGGCTCGATGAGCCTCACAAATATTTTCCGCACTGTGGAAATTATATATGGTATCACCAATGATGTTTCCATCATCCGAAGGGAACATAGTTTCCATTCTAGAGCCCTTTCGATACTTCTCCAGCTGTTGTTCAGGAGGACGATTCCATAGCATGGGTGCATCAGTCTTTGAGAGGGTATTTTCTTCATTTACGTACATGCATATTGCTGCAGCATGTTTACATAATAACATCCCTGCTTTACAAGTACAATGTGCATCACATACCTTACGGCCATTGGCTTGATCGAGCTATAAAATTACCATATGATTCATTAATGTAAATTCAGTTCTGATCGACATTTTGAGAAATATCTTTGAATATAATGGAGACAGCGAAATTGGCATAAAAACTTTTTTGTAGAGAATTTCAAGAGCTACAAAAGAGGTCTTTATGTGAATCCCGCGATCTTCCTCAGATTTCGAGATATGTGACAAAAACTCAACCGAGGACGGAGTTAACTTGTTGCTCTCCACCACCTCAATGCGGAGTAATTTTTACTTTTAATGGACTATTTTATAGTAGGGCATATTTACCTGAACGACTGGGGAGTAAATATTTTCTTTTTTACGGGTGCTATGTGCCCCAGGAGTTTCTCGGATCACTGATCCACAGATACGTCTATCATTTCCATGGATGAGTTCTCTCACGTCACTGACATGATAACTTTTTACTAATGTTGTGCCTTTACTGATTGATTTAGGTCGGAAGGCCGATAAATCGACCTCTTGAAACCCACTTTTAATTATGAGACTCATTTGACATTTTATGATACTTTAATGAATTAGGAAAAAAAACTTAATGTAACCAGTAATACCATGTAAGCATATGAGTGTCAGCTGGAGCGGCCCTCCGAGAGTTGCGTAGAATGTCCACGAGACAGCGCACAAACCGCGCGCCCCTGGAACTTGTCTAGCGTATGAAATAGCAAATTGTTCATTGATGTAGACACAAACAATGTAGACCTAAAAAAGTTCATTACCAACATTTTTTAACTTGCTTTCGGTTACGAGATATTCAACAAAAAATGGACTCAACCGACTCGGCTAATTTCATTACAGAATATTATTCNAATTATTTTTCTTACTGGCCCCTGACTTTCATGGCAGTTTTTAATTTCTTGTTACAAAGATTAAGGGATGAAAGAGGGTTAATTAATGAAAAATTTAATTCTGCTTTGAACCGCTCTTTTTTCATGCCTTAGNAAAAAAGTTCATTACCAACATTTTTTAACTTGCTTTCGGTTACGAGATATTCAACAAAAAATGGACTCAACCGACTCGGCTAATTTCATTACAGAATATTATTCACACTTGTCATCAAAGAGGATTGACTAAAGTAGAGGCTCAGATCTCGGGGNGTATCGGAGCCAGTTTCATGGTATAGATACCATGATAATGGTATGGTTGGCAACGCTGTTACCCGCACAGGCAGTTCGCCCAGCCGTCAGATTCGATCGTGGCGGCATCCCTCCGTTGGGGTCGAACTACTTTTGGCTTGGGGTCAGTCTAACCCCGAGATCTGAGCCTCTACTTTAGTCAATCCTCTTTGCTTGTCATGTTGTGACCCTAGCGGTCGTCAAGTGAACTTTATAAGCTGTCAACATAAAAAAGTAGAGCCTTCCCCCACCAACAGAGTTTCCAGACCTCGTGGTTTTAACCGGTTTGAACCTGCAGTTTTGAATTTAGTGTTTCCCGATACCCAAAAAAATATCGATACTCAGTATTGTATCGAAGCAGATTGCTTGGTATCGATACCGCAACNAACGACTGGGGAGTAAATATTTTCTTTTTTACGGGTGCTATGTGCCCCAGGAGTTTCTCGGATCACTGATCCACAGATACGTCTATCATTTCCATGGATGAGTTCTCTCACGTCACTGACATGATAACTTTTTACTAATGTTGTGCCTTTACTGATTGATTTAGGTCGGAAGGCCGATAAATCGACCTCTTGAAACCCACTTTTAATTATGAGACTCATTTGACATTTTATGATACTTTAATGAATTAGGAAAAAAAACTTAATGTAACCAGTAATACCATGTAAGCATATGAGTGTCAGCTGGAGCGGCCCTCCGAGAGTTGCGTAGAATGTCCACGAGACAGCGCACAAACCGCGCGCCCCTGGAACTTGTCTAGCGTATGAAATAGCAAATTGTTCATTGATGTAGACACAAACAATGTAGACCTAAAAAAGTTCATTACCAACATTTTTTAACTTGCTTTCGGTTACGAGATATTCAACAAAAAATGGACTCAACCGACTCGGCTAATTTCATTACAGAATATTATTCACACTTGTCATCAAAGAGGATTGACTAAAGTAGAGGCTCAGATCTCGGGGTTAGACTGACCCTAAGCCAAAAGTAGTTTGACCCCAACGGAGGGATGCCGCCACGATCGAATCTGACGGCTGGGCGAACTGCCTGAGTTTCGGAGTGGAGAGTGGAATTTGTGTCCTCCTCGTCCTCAGCATGTTCTTAATGTTTTTCAGGTGATTCATTTGCTGGCTAATTAATATTAAGGAATGAAGCACAGAGGGTGTGATGGAGAATTAAATTNAAGTATCGCCTTGGGAAATATCGATACTCGTAATATCGATCTTTTTAAAAATTCTGGATGACAATGGCAAATAAAAAAAAATTAAAGTTGAAGAATGTCGTGTTAAAAGATGACCCTGAAGTTTGCTGAAAATTNTCTCTGTAACAAAAAAATACAAACTACGACAAAGTCATGGGCCAGTGAGAAAAATAATTTTGCTCTCGGCGTACAATGACTTTTCACCATTCGCTCGTGAATTAAAAATTCACTTCTCCCCTCCTAATTGAGATTAAGGGATGAAAAAAGAGTAGTTCGACGGAAAATTAAATTCCCCACCAACTGACCCTCTTTCATCCCTTAATCTCTGTGAAAAATGGAAGAAACTGTCATGGAAATAACAGCGCAGTAAGAAAAATAATTGTTTTGCGGCGCACAGTGACTCCCGG